ATCCATCCATCCATCCATCCATCCATCCATCCATCCATCCATCCATCCATCCATGTCCATCCATCATGTTTTTGTGCAATGAATATCCCCCCCCAACTGATTTTTAGCTGAAATCCATAATCTAAATACTGTAAATATTTTTACTGACCTCTCTCTAAAGTCAGAGGAGCATTCGGCCCAACCAGCATAGCTACAGCTCCAGCTCCACCTGTTGGTCGTGCATTCCCAGTGGCATACACAGCAATATCACCACAAACCACCAAGGCATGGCGTCCTGACATGACAAGAGCATCACCAAAGTGTCAACACTGATGAAGAGAAAAACAGACAAAGCTCTTCCTGATTTTCTTCATAAAATGGGTCAAAGTTATTTTGTAGCTTCAACTCCTGGTCCAAGGAGATATTGAGTTAGTTACAGGCCAGATGAACTACATGTGGCTGAACTCAGTTTCCATTTGGTGAAAATTAAGATGTAGCGAATGGATACACGGTAGAGATGTTTTAAAGAAAGGACCTAGATCAAAAATGCATGTAACAAATACTTTAGGGTTTTTTTCCCCCTCAGACTTTCTTTCTTCAGCTGGAAGATTTGGCAGTGGAATCTGCAGCCTACTTTGGGAAACCTGGGTGGGAAAGAAAAACCTTTCAACCATTCCCTGTTGGTGAGAAAACAGCCATGGTGGAAATCACAGCAGCAACATCAGTCATAAGACTCATATTGGTCGTAACAAGGTGGAGAGAAAAAAAAATCCCACACAGTTCTTTCAAGGCAGATATAGCTTCCATTTTGTGCTTTAAAAAAGGGGGCAAAAAACAAAACAGCTCAGAATTATAGTGGCACACAATGCCACACTGTGAAGTTGTGGCTCCTTTAGCAAAAACTAGCTATTACCTAATAGCTTTGCTGCCCTCTTTAGACTTCAGCTGCTTTCCAATGGTCCCCTCACAGGACTCTGGGCCAAGTGGAAATGCCTTTGCCTAAGCAATGACAAGATACCAATTTAAAGTGGCTGGGGAGCTAGAGTTACTCTCTGAACTCTACCACAGAACTATTTTTCCCAAGTTGGTGCCAGGAGTTGAAATGGAGAGGTCCTGATTTTCCAAAGGCCACAGAATTAGCCCCTCACAGAGATTAAAGTCCAGGTGGTCAGTCAGACTCTAAGCAGGATGAACTCTAGAACCAAAGGGCAGATCTTATTACAACATGATTCAAAGGTTAATGGAAAACTACTAATATGCATTTTTGAAATCTGGAAATTGCATTGCAATCTATATGGTATTTGAAATAAGAAAGGGGCTTCTGGGCTGATCTCTCCAGATAAGAGTAATGGTACTGCAACTGAGTCAGGCAGGGTCTAAATTATCCATGCATTTCTCTTCCTTTTTTTTAAGGTGGTGGTCAACTGTCTTAAAATCCAATCCATAACGTGTTTACTCAGAAGTCAGACTTGGCAAACTCTATGGGATTTCCTTTTTTGGCCTGTAGACTTACAGCTAAATTAGAGGCAATTCAGGACATATATAGTAGCATCAGGGCAAGGAGAAATGTTAATTGGAGAAAAGCTATCTGGAAGAATACCTTTCTCTCATGTTCTGTGGTACTGACCTAACTGGGGTCAGTATTACAGTTGTTTTTATTGTTTTCTTTACAGGCTTTTCGTCCCATGTGGATGTAAATATAAAAGGGGTTTTGAATAAATCTCAAGCATAAAGACAGCTTGTATCCTAATGCAGCCATCTTAACAGGGGATGAGGGGAATCCCATTTTGTAGTTGTGACCTTTCTATATGGCTCCAAGAATTAACACTTTGGCTACTAGAATGCTTTGTTCTGCTGGAAACAATGTCCTTTATTCTCACATTCCTTGTCTGGTGCCAGAGCTGAAGATTTTGTAGGGCTTTGGTGCAGCATTTGAAGATCACCACTAGTTGTGAGATGTCATCAAGCTGCAGTCTAGATAATGGCCTTTACATACATACATCCCCAAGCTTAGCCAACTCATTGGCCAACTAAAAACTGTTGCTTGGCAGGTACTGCAGTATTACATATGGGAGATGCATTTCACCAACCTCCCAACCTAAATCACCCAGTGGCTGATGTCCAACAACAATAATTTCCCTCAGTGCAGTGATGGATGGGTGGCAGTTCTGTAAGGTAAAACATTCTTCCCAATGAGATGAAATCCTAATTTCAATACTGCTTTCAGCATATTGTTTTCCTGAGGAAAAGCTGCTGCCTAATCAGCTGTCTGTTTTCAATCTAGCTATGTGTTTACCTATACATTTATATCCCATCTTTTGTACAGGGGCTCAGGGCAGCATACACAGTGTTCCTTCCGCCTATTTTTCCCTACAACAACAAACCTGTGAGGTAGGTTTGGCTGAAAGAGAGTGACTGGCCTAAAGTGATATTTTAAGTCTGAGGGTCAGCTAGAACCAGGATCTCCTCACATGGGTGGTCCAGTTAATGGACAGCATTAGTTAAGTAATTAATTAGTTACTTAGTGGACAACATTAGGACTGCTGCCTAATTTACTGATATAATGGCAAAAGGTAGTAACACCAGGAATACCATCTCATACTGTAATCTCATATTTGGGCTCTGCTTCTTTGGGGAAGAGGTTGAGAGGGGGACTTTACGTACTCTCTGCTTTGTTACATCAGTCTTGCTCTTGTGACCCAGTTGATGGTCATCAAATGGTCCAGCATTTGATATATTGGAGGGAATATCTGATGGCTCCCCTGCCTCTTCCTCTTCTTTCTCTACAATGAAAGTGCTATGGCTAACTCTTCCCAACCCCAGGGTCATTTGCTGTCCCTGTCAGTCCCTGATCATTATGTTAATAACAGTGTATGTCAACATATATTAACAAACTACTTGTGCAAAAAAAAAAAAAGCATTGTCTCTGGGTAAAATCAAATCAGTTACTCACAGGCAGCCAATAATTAGGGTCACGTAGAAGATAATTTTATCAGAAAACTGAGGTATGGTATGGTAATATAGCAATATTAGTAATAAATCATATACTTTTTTTTAAAGCATGGCTTAGAGCCAAAATATGTGTCAGGTGAGAAGATACTGCCCATACAGTTAAATGAAAATTAGGATATAAATTTTTATATAAATTAGTACTAATGCAATCTGAGGAAGAACTGAAAAGGTACAGAAAAATAAGGCTGAATGGATTAGTGAATAATGGAAAGAGGAGGACTGACAAAGGAGATAATTCAGAGTAAGAAAAGAACTGGGAAAAAACCTGAATTGTGGAAACTGCATTAAATGGAAAAGGAAAATCAGAAAACTGGAATAAGAAGATTAGAAACATTAAAGCAAAATAGCATTTGTAGCAAGAAAAGTTCAGTCTCCAGCACTACTTTGTTACTGAAACTCCAACACCATGCAATAATGATTTATATGCTGAGAAAATCCTGAGAGCATTCCACTTTCTACCTGCTGCTGAAAGTGTGTATGTTGTGACTCTATTATGCTTTATATATAGTGTTAGTAGCCAACAGCTCAGTAGAATCAAAGGATTAGCTTCCTTTAACCAACTAAGCAATTTGAATGGTTGTTCTTTTTCAGAATGTGCATTTCAGGCACATAGGTTATACAATTGTTTCTCAACCTCAGTAACTTTAAGATAGGTGGACTCCATTTCCTAGAATTCTGGGAGTTAAAAGTCCACCCATCTTAAAGTTGCTGAGGCTGAGAAATGCTGGGCTGAGAGAACTGGACCCAGTCTGCCAACACTTACCATCCCAGGAGCTGGATTCCACCCAATCAGCGGAGTTGAATAGAGAAGCTGTTCCTCCATAGCAAGCATTGGTTGTGTCAATGCCCTCAATGTCTGTGTTCCCTGAATCCTGAAACAGCTGCATCAGAACAGTCTTGACAGCCTTGGATTTGTCAATAATGGTTTCTGTTCCAACTTCCAGACGGCCAATAGAATCCCAGGAGAGATTGTTTCGCTCTACCAGATGCTGTACCACAGTCAGGCACAAGGAATTGATGTCTTCATGTGCAGCACAGAAACCCATCTGCTTCTGGCCTAGGCCTATGGTGTATTTCCCTGATTCTACCTCATCATATTTCTCTAGCTCGGTCTGCTCTACATATTGGAATGGGAAATATACCTCCAGAGCAAGGATACCCACATCCTTAGGCCATGGGGAGATGGTCTGGGATGGTTGTACAGAATCTGTGGAGAAACTGCAAGACAAGTAGAGAGGAAAGCTTTCTCACAATTCACATTTACATACATTCTGGCTTCCAAACTATTAGGAGGACTGAACCCCAATCCCTTACAAAACAGATATGCTTCAGACTGGGGCAGGCAAGGACTCTGCTTGCCTCGTGAATATCCCACATCAAGTAAATAACAAGAACAGCTGTATTTATACTCAGAGATTAAAGAAAAGGAATATTCACATTCTCCAGTTTGGTAGGTAAGTTTACTATAATTTAATCCCACTTTGTAAACAACTGCTGCTCCACACTGTTAAAGCATTATAAACTGAGACATGACTTAGTGCAATGCTCATTTTCTCACCCCAAATATCCTTGTGAAGCAATTAACACTTATGGAAAAGTGAGGTACCTTGCCATTAACAATGACACAAAGGGGCTCATTCATGCAGTGACAGCCTCCAGATAAGTCTACTGCTGTATACAGGGCTGCTTTTGAAATAGACTTGGAAATTCCTGTTACTAGAAAGGGCCCATTCAATAATAGATATATCCCAGGCATCACCAATTCTGTGAGATCTAGTTTGGCTTTGATTTTTATAAACAAACAAATAAAACAAGATCCTACTTATGTTAGGGAGGATCTGCTTCTACACTTGAGTTCCATTCTGCTTAAAATTCCTGTCATTGAAGGCCTTAGATAAGTCTTTGCCCCAAAAATATTCTCTGCAGTATCCTGATATTCAGGTACTGCCTTTTGAGACGGACTCTTGGAACAGCCTACTTTTATTTTCTACAGCTAATATTTTTCTTTCTTTTAAAGAAAGGCTTTGAGAACTGCTGAGAACTAGTTCTGTATCTGAACATGATAATTTACTTTCATGTTGTTTTAGCTGGTGTTCCTGTTTTGTTATATTGTCACTTGTATGAAGAGCAAAATAGAAATATTTATTTTAAATATGGATAAACAAATAGATATATGATTTGAATAGTTTCCAAGTTTCTCTTTGCCATTTAGCATGTTGGGTAAACTGTGGAATTAAGACTTTTACTGTGTTTACTTCTACAGCATCTTAAAAACAGATGAATTCCAATAGTCTAGATGACCAATGCCTCCTTGCTGTCTTATCATTTCACATCCTAACCCTAACATATTGTTATCAAGAGGTTAATGTTTAATACAAAGACCTTTGATTACATTCACACAAGATCAACACTGCTGGACAGCACTAGGGGTCAGGTCCAAAGGGTAAGTATGTGCATGCATTATGTTATTGCCCCTTAAAGACCCCACACAATGAATATTCTAAAAATTCAGTCTCCCTGTTTTTTTCCCCCTCTTCCTATTGGTTATAGAGATGCTACTTTTAATTTGGATTGCTTTTAGTGTATTTTATGAATAAAAATTAGCTCTTTTTTAAAAGAAAGGTGGGATATTAAAATAAATAAAAGTGTTTTCTTATATATAGAGGTAGTTTATCAGGATCACAAAGCTACAAGTTCGGGATTGGAAAACTTTTAAGTGTGGCTGGAATTTTGATTCCCATTTTTGGATCTTGGACTGAGAGTTGACTTTTGGGCTTAATATTTCATTGTGCATTAATGAAAAATATGTCAGACCAGTGGAACTGTCTTCTTGAGATCTGGAATATGGAAAGTGCAACACAGTGAAATTATGTTAAGTAGGAAAAAAATCTGTGTAAAAGTGTACATTTAACAAGCTGGAATAGAAACTGTTCTTGCCATGAAAAGTAGTAAATAGATAACTGTAGTCTTTCTCACAATATTTTTTTTTATAAACTGTAAGACCCCTGAGCTAAGTGTGGCTTTTTATGCCATCAATGTTCAGTTTTGGAGCAAACTGCTTCTGCTGTACCAGATAATTAAAGGGTTTGCTATTCAAACTCTACATAATCTGGAAAAAAGTTTCTCTCACATTTGCATTCTTATGGATCAGACTCTCTGGGTTCCTTTAAATGATTTATTCCATTCTCCTTACAGGGTTCAGGTATGAACATTCACAAATGATATTTCCCAAAGTGAAGAATTTGTAAGAAATAACCAAGGTTATATTGGGATTAAAGGGATGATAGAAAATGAAAGCTGGAAAGAATTGTGCATGATTTTCACAGAGAAAAGGGTTTTAAAAGGCATTGTTTTTCACTTACAGATTTGGGTGACTCTAGAAAATAAAAAAAAAATAAACCTGACTTTTATTAATCTATTATTCTAATATTCATTACAATTAAAGCAGAATTTTCTTATCAAATTTTCCAGGTAGATCATCATTGGAAATGTTTGTGAAAAAGTAAAACTCAGAGCCTGAAGATGTCAACATTTTTAGTGCTATTCTTTCTTTTACTTACCTGTTCTGCTTCACCACTGCTGGAAAAGAAAGGGGCCGAAATGGTTTCTGCAGTGTTCGTTTCACCTGCAAGCAGCACAGCTGCTTAGTGTGGCTGAAAAGCCGGAACATGTTCCTAGTTGGTTAAATAGTCCAACTACGCTTTGGACTAGCTGCCTCCCCAGCTGCGCTGGCTTTTTAAAAGTCACCCCAAGCCTACTGAAGAGCTTGGGTAAGTCCCTCCCTGCTCTTATCATGAGAGCCAATAGTATACCTCAGTACAGGTAACAGTACACAAGCTGATCTAACTAGGCTTTTGCAATTTTTTGTAGCATCAACCTTCAGTCCTGGAGGTTCCTAAGATCCTGGCCACCTTTAATCAAGGTGCCTTCCCACTTCATCCTGACTAGAATTACTCTAAAAATTCCCCATCTTCATGAAGGGCAGTTTTCTTTGGACCCTCTCCTGTTCCATAACTGAGCTCTAACTAGCTGCAAGGTATTAACTTTGTATTTTCAGTATATTTTCTCTGTGAAGCAAAGAGCACCTAGAGGTAGGATTTAGTCTGGAAAAATGGTCACTTCCTCATTCCCACCTACCACCCAAAGGTGCTTTGAACTGAAAAACAAACAAAAAACTTCCCACAAGTTTAGTATTTAAGAGTTAGTATAGCTTTGAATTTCATATATGCATATGTGTACAAATTATAACACTCTTCCTTTTATTTAATGGTGCTAAGTATTTTATTTTTGAAAGTACATGCCATCCTTCAAAATAAAATCTTCCTAGAACAGTTTACAATACATCCAAATTAACTTAATCCCTAGCATTTCCAAGACGAGCATCTCCCAAGAGGAAATGCTTATCATAATATTGTATTTTCTGTTTGTTCTACTACTTTACCTCCCAAAGGGAGATTTGTAAACGACCACCAACTGCAGCAAAAAAAATTATTATTTATGCATACCTTGAAGGAGGCATAAATAATAATCCATAACAGTAATACTGCCATCAGTCTCTCCGCTATGTATTTAGCAAATACCGTCATTACTAAATAAGCAAGCTGCATATTTCTCAATCTCCTGCCTACACCTTTAGTTGCCAATCATTTATTTTGATCAACTGACAGAACAAAGTCCTGGGCACCAAAGTAACATCTAAGGCAGCCACAAAGTGGACTGAAACACTGCCATGTATGCATGCAAATGCATCAAATTATTTCTGTTATTTCTATGAGCAAACATTCATTGTCATTTAAACAGCTTGTATCTCCAGGGAAAGGAAACGCTGATTCAGTACAGCTGTCAGTCAGTGTAGAGAAGCATCTAAAGTCAAACAACAGTTCATTTTATTATTGTAAGTGTATGACATACACTTACAAAACAGCAGTGCAGGAGGGAACAACCGGGGTGAGGAACTGCCTCTCAGAATGTAATGTGCCAGCAGATACTACTTTAAATTCAGGTGAAAGGCTGCAGAGGAAATGCAGGGGAGAGGTCAGAGCAGCAGATAAAATACTGCTGAAGCTGCTGGAGAGACAAGATGGCTCAAGGCATTGGAAATAGGGCTGCACATTACTGAAAAATACAAGTGAGCAGTTCTTTCCACAGATGATGGTGAGCAAAGAGTGTAGGCAATAGTTCAAAATATACCACAAATTGATTAGTTTTGTTATACTATCTCTTACAAGCATGGTTTTTTTTTTTTTTTGCAATCCTTCGGTTTTGAACTCGTTGCTCCTTTGTTCTATCTAACGCTCATAATCATCTCAGTTCTCCAAATGCCTGTCCTAATGTAGCCAAACGTAAACCTCCCCTGGTCACATAAAACATCAGAGGAAAGGACTGAGGGAAAACTTTTTCATGGAATACGAAAACTGTTTAAGAACTTCTCGCATAGATCAAAAATGGAAAACTAATTGTTAGTGGGCTACGTGGGGGACAGATAGCAGTGGCAATAATTCTGGAAGTTGTATCCTAAAACAGCTGAAAGACACTAGTTGTGGGAAACATTAGGGAAATCACACCAGTTATATAACTAATCCATCCTATGGTAAGCATGTATAGGACTCTCCTGCTGTTGTTCCTCAGCAAATGCTATTCAAATTAATGCAGCCCCTGTATTAAGGGTAGCATAAAGCCATTGATAGTCTTATTCTCTTCTGAATATGCAGTCACTGCATTTCTTGAAGAATACATTAACTGAACAGGATTATGATCAGTGTATGTATAGTCAATCCAAAGTAATTTTCTAATTAATGTTTCAAAAAAACAGCTGCTTAGCATGTTTAAGAGGTTAGATGGGCTCAAAATGCCATTTGCACCTTTGCTCTGTATTCTTTAATAGTTTGTTTCTGGGATTTATTCTCAAAAATATCTGCACAGGATTTCAGGATTTAGGGTTGGCTGCCTATTGGATGAAAGATGGCATGCATGTTTAATGCCTAGCTGAGTAGCAGTGTCTACCCAACTTTGGCTGACCTTGGAAAAACTAAGCAGGCTCAGACCTGGTTAGCACTTGCACGAGAGACCATCAGAAAGTCCCAGAGCTATAGGCTTGACTGAAGAGAGAGAGAGAGATTTTAATTCATTCATGGAAGAAGGCAATGGCAAATCACTTCTGTACTACTGCTAAAAATGGTTACCCTAGGAGTCAAACTAAGGGATTTTTTAATCTTAATTTTAAAAATTAAATTCTGCCCAACCAAACAGAAATCAACATATTGATGAAATAACAAAGCAACGCATAATAATAAACAGTAAAATGAGAAATACTGAAACAATACGTTCTGTACTGCCTGATATTGAAATTATAAAAACAAATTAATTTGGACAGATTCATTATATTCTTTAATAGTTAGAACATTACGTAGCATTCTAGGCACTAGTTTTCTTGGAATGAGCTATGTTTGACATTTTGGAACATCAGAATCATTTTTCTAGCCATTTTTAAAGTATCTATGTATTTTTTACAGGACACCCAGTCTTCTGCAGCCTGCTGGCACTTGGCTGCCGTGGTACTCGTTGACCAGATCCTTCTCGATTGCTATGATCTGACACAGCTTGGTTCCCAGCTGCTGTAGAAATGGTTCTGGCTCTCCCTGGAGGAAAAGAAAGGCTAAGTTCAGAGAATTATTATGACCAATCTATCAACTGTTAGGGTTGCTGAAATATTAAAAAAAAATCTGAAATGTATCTAGAAATATACATTTAATAAGTTCTCTGCATGGTCACTAGCTACAAGCTCACAATATTTAAGACTAAAAATATACTAAACCAGATCTAATAGTAGCTGAATTATCCAAATCAATACTTATCAGGTCTGTCTTCCTAAGACCCACTGCTGAAAACAAGGAATATTTAATAGCATAACCAAGCTTACTGACCTGTACCTCACATTATCAATATTCCCTGCAACTGAAGAGCAGCATGAAGATGAACAGAACTTCTTTCAGCCTTTTCCAAACTCTGTTCTTTTCTTATAAGTCTGCAGAATCACAGGGTCAGAAGAGACCATAGAAATCACTACCGTAGTCCAGTCCCCTGCTCAGTGCAGGCTCCACTAAGTATCTCTGACAGAGATGATGATCCACCCTCTCTTTGAAGACCTCTGGTGAATTTCTCCCTACTCACAAAATTTGCTTTTCATTCTTGAAATAAAAATGAATTATGTATTTCAGCAATTAGTGTAATATCACATGACTGCTCCAGAGCCAAACTGTTTTGCTGACAGCAGCATGTAATACAATTATATGATAGAGGTTGTTTTTTAATGTAGGGAAAATTACTTTGTAAAATAATTCTGCTACTCAAATTCCAAAATCCTCTAGTTGATGTAAAGACTTTAACCTTTAATCCATGTAAATTAGCAATATAACCAGAACATCTTTAGTCAAAGATTAAAATGTGCATTTCAATTATTAGTAGGTGCATGTTTTGGTCCCCTTTTGATAAATGTGCCAATTTTTCCTTATGGGTCCAACTTCAATAAATGTTTTTCCATACAAATTGCAAAAACTAATACTTTGTTAAGATAAAATGTTATTCTAATAATAGTTTGGATCTTTCACAATGCTGCAATAGTTCATGGTTTAGATCCCTGATTTCCAAATTAAGAATTAGGAGCAAAAGAAAAAAGATGGTGTTTCTTTCTATCAAGTGATGTTCAAAGCCCTTGGCTTTTATAATATTTAATGAATATGTACTCAAAGCACTCTAACAAAAATGTTATTCTTAAATGGCATCACAGAGCTTGCCATTTATAAATGGCATGCAAATATATTTGAATTATTCCATTAATTAATTTTAAGCCAGTTTAGTATTGTTCAACGCATCTTTGAAAGTGTCTGTCCTCTAGATGTATGCCTTATGTGGCCATGGTATCTCATGTCAGCATTGGGCACAATAGATAGATCAGTGTGTCTCAACCTTGGTGACTTTAAGAAGTGTGGACTTCAATTCTCAGAATTCCTGAGCCAGCATGATGGCTGAGGAATTCTGGGAATTGAAATCCACTCTTCTTAAAGTTGCCAAGGTTGTAGACTCTCACCAGGAAATGGGAGGAAAGTAGCAGAAAATAGCAGTTTCACAAGCCAATTCTGGATTCCAGCTTTGAAGGTAAGGATATGGGCAGAAATAATACATCTTTTCACACTATTTCCCTAATGAAAGTTAGAACTTTCTGGGTCACTTCTGTCACTTATGACAGGATAATTTCCATTTTCACCAAGAGTTGTAATAGTCTTGGACTTGCTGTTTTTTTCTCCTATTTGAACCCCTTATGTTAAATTTGTTAAAATCCAGTTCTACAAATCTAAATCTCACAGCAAGGATTGATTCTTTCCAAGTATCAACATTTTGAAGAAAATCTTTATACATTTCAGACTTCCTCCAGATATCTCACACTTTTTATATGATCCACCAAATCAGAGAAACTAGTCATTCACTGGATTCAGAACTCTTACCAGCATTCTCTCCTGTACATATACAAAATTGTCAGATACTTTACCAAAATGAATGAAGTGAAAGCTGAAGGAAACTTTTCACCATTCTCAGATGCAAACATAGATTTCCTCAGAAACAATAACCATAGGGCAAGTATTTAAATCAATATGCTCCATGAAGTTTTGGAAAGGTTCGTTCATACTGGTCTGATTCCTCAAAGAACATTTTCTGTCCCAGGTATTTTTCATTTGTAGAAGTTGCTGCATTGTCTTCTGCATGCAGAAGAAACTAGCAGCTCCCACAATTTGCTAACTGTAGTAGTTGGTAGAACAATGGCAGAATGAGATAGGGTACAGAAAGTTTCTCAGAAAAGAACAAGCTAATATTTTGGGAATAAAAAGTCAATACCACATATTTATATTTAAAATAGGATACTCCACAAAATGTATGTTGTAAAATGTGCCCCAACTGATCAAGAACATTCCATTCAGGTGTCACAAAGCCTGCAAGTCAGAATTCTGAAAGCCAAGGATCAAGACAATATCTTGATGCAAAAACCTTATGAAAGCTCAACATGTTGATGGAAGAAAAGGAGACATAGTACAAATATCTCAGAAAAATAACTTAGCCACAAAAACATTATGGTATCTTGCAACCTAATGTACTAGGTGAAACAGATTCTTCAACAAAAAGCTTAATACAGTATGTATTTTAACATTTTCAAATGATTGGAGGGATTACAGTGCCAGATAGACAAAAACATTCTGTATTTGATCTAAATGAGGCAATAGAATCAGCATGATCCAGATTAGCAATGCTAAATCTGCATGGCATTTCCTACTTGGTGCTACAGTTATGTGTGGTTGTAAAACTCCTTTCAGAAAACACAGGGAACTTTTAGTCATAATTCCCAAGGTTGCAGTCCTGCAAAGATGGTATATTTAGAGACATGTACTAGTTGTACATGTACTAGTTGTACATGTACATCCAAAATGTTTTGAGCTAAAAGAACCCCCATTTTGGAGTTGAAACCCTCAACAGCTGTTCCCACCTTCCAGAAGCATTCCAAGACTGCTCCAACCTCACCAGAACTATTCTGAGTTTGTAAATTCAAAATAACCTGCTTTTAAAAAAGCTGTTTCAAATTTGAAACGTTTTGCATATGCAATAATATACACTGATAAAAATATACTGGGTTCCCCAACCTTTTTATGCAACCATAATGTCCAGTGTTGAAAAATTACTAGAATTGGAATGAATATTATTTGCACAGAGTTCAGAATGTGTAAGTTAAAATAATGAGTACATTTACTTGGAAGCAAGTTCTGCTGAAATCAAGAGTTCTTAGTCCAAGTAAGAACTCTTCAAATCTGAAGGCAAGAGAATCACTTTCCTTTCTCAAGACTGCCCTAAAACCCAGTAGATAACTAACACACACAACCTGCAAAAGGAGAGAACAGGCAGCAAGAAAACTGGAAAGAGCCAGGGGGACCTTGAGAGAGAGGCGAGCAAGCTGCAGCAGGACTGTAGACCACAGCCTTAGGGACTCTTATTCGTGGAGGCCGAAGGACAGAGGAAAATGAGAGTGGTGCAGGGATTTTACTGGCCTTGGCAGACACAATTGGGGGCTCTAATTCAAAGAGAGACACAGAAACAAATTAGAAACACCGCATGGCTATAGACACAAACACAAACTTGTGAATCTATATTTACATACTTTAAAAGCTATTACGTCATGACCACTATTGCTTTTTGGTGGTTGTTTGTTTTACATACATGCAGTTCATACAGTGGAAAACTGTAGATCCAGATACAAGAATAAGATGTTCTAATCAACCTGAACTATTTAGGAGAAAATGGGACCAAGATAGCTAGCTGCTCTACCAAGCTTATTTGTTGCATTTTTGAAATAATTTTGGAATGCCACAAATAAGGCACTGCATGATATTAATTTTTGTAAAACATATCTGCAATATATGTATTTCAAAGTCATCCTTAATGGTATATTATACAATAAGAGCATAATCAGTAAAGTGAATGGTAGTTCTCCTACTCTATATGTAATGACGCTAGAATTTAGCTTATAGTTCAGGGCAAAGGAAATGCTCTGACTCCATTGCTGCAATCTTAGCACAGTCTGATACAGTAAAGACTGGGCAATAATCAGAGAGAATGCTTTTGCCAGAAGAACGTCAAAATCCATTCCCACTTAATATAGCCCCAGAACACTTAGCGCTAAATTTTTTAAAAAAATGCAATTACAGGTATAATGCACCCTAAGTATTATAGGAGTTTAAGTTTCTCTACACTTTGTAAACTAATCATACTACTTTGCTTTGATTAAATGCAGTATTGTAAAATAATACCCCCCTCCCCCGCAAAAAATATTTTAATAATTATAACATGAAGGTAAGGACAGCCTTATCCCCAGTTAAAGCTAATGCCTTCAAACTAGCTTTTTCTCTTCATAGACAAATTCACAGTATATGCTATACCAAAAGAAATATAAATGAATTAATTAAATTCCAAAAAGCTTTGGAGCACATAAAGCCTGAATGAAAGTGTTAGTTTTGTGTAACAACAGTTTTAGCCAATTATTTTATTTTACTGGTTATACGCTCTGGTCAGTAGAAAAGATTCTTAAAACTACCTCTTCCATGAACAACCTGAAAACTACTCTTATATATTTGAATACCCAGTTGAAGAGAAGAAAGCAACAGGAAGTGCACTTGAAAAATTATATTTAAGTCCCTCTATGAAGGATGGCAAGCTAAGATGTGGCAGTATACGTCAATGTCAAAAATAATCTCACATTTGTGAACCAAGTCTGATACAGAATTTAATTCAATTTAGAAACCATTTATGATTACAATTCTACATAAAGATTTATACCACCTCTGAAGTTTGGGTTTCTCTAAACACAAGGCTTTACTATAATAGTTTTTGTTTGATATGTTAAATAAGGATAGAATTCTTAGATTACACAAAAACCTTTATTAATTATTTATTCTGACATGGTTCATATTATACTGGCTATTGTTTTTAATTATTGAATATTGACGAGTTTATTTACCATATTTCTACCTTGCCACAATCCATAAACTCTTGGTGGCTTGCATTTTAATATTCTTCTGAAGTCTACAGTACTAAACTAATGTACTTCAAAAATTTTCCTCTATCTTACATTGCTTTTAAATCTTTTTTTCTTTTTGTTTTTCTTTTGTATTTTTCTTCATGATTCTGTTCTTCTTAAATACTTACCTACCTACCTAAATAAATAAATAGGAAATGCACTTGTTCAGTTCTAGATGTAACCCAAAAGGTATTGTGCCATCATTCTGGGAACTGAAGTTCAAAATCTTAAAGTTGCCAAGGTTGAGAAACACTGGAGTATAGTATCAGATAACTGCAATGTTATCCTGAGTTGAAAGTTGAATTTAACTTGAGGCTAGACATATTTTAAGTAGAAAGATCAGATTAAAGTATAAAGTTTACAAAACAGTGACAATTTATATATCTGCTCAGAGTCACTGGTCTGAGATGGGCAGCTATATAAATGGAGTAAATAAATAAATAAATAAATTTTAATTGTGACCATACACAAAGCAATATTGGTTATCAAAACATTCTGGCATTGTAAGCTAATTGTTATATTACATGATTAAAAATCCAAGTAAAGTTATAGGTGGCAGAACTAAACTTCCATCTATAATATAATAAGCTTTCTTACAAAATGTTTTATTCAAAAACAAACAGCTTCAGGACAGTGGCAGGGAGCCCTAGCAGGTTTAAAGGTTCCCCATAGTGGTTGGTTTGTTCTAGAATACCTGTACAGACTTTATATATCAAACATTGGGTCAATGTTATAGTTCATGAAATGCCTAATATAAAATTTTGAATGGAACACATTTGATTGCATCATAAATTATCTATAGTCAGGGGTGAACAGGAAGATAGGTAAATTTGCAAATGACAATCATTCTGAGTGATGTGTACACACTAGAAAGGCAAGATATAAATTTTATATCATCAATCAATATAAAAATAATATTTAATTAATGATTATTAAACACTAGATGAAATACAAGGAGCATCAGAACACCTCTCTAAACTAAATTTATGGGCAACAATAGCAATTGCAATTCAGACCTTATCAGTAAATAGGGAAAATTAATATATAATCTACAGTATTTCATTGCCACAACTGAAATATGTACCACCATATATCCTGGTAACTTTGGATATTTGATTTTTTTTTTAAGTATTTCTATGTAACACACATAACTGATTTATGAAATTTGTTACCATAAGATGTGACAATGCCCACTGGCTTAAATATTTTTCAAATATAATTTTAAAAATCCATAGATGCATTAGCACCTGTTGCTAATTACGGATAGGATTCCAGTTTTCCAGGATTTTCCAAGATTGAATGAAATCTTCTAATGTATTGCCCTCTATCGTATGACAGATATTGAACTACAAGTCTGTAAGTCTCGGACCACAGTTTAGACTGGACAATCAGTTAAGGAAGTACTTACTTATTTTCCTACTCAAGTCTTCAGACACACTTTTGAGGGTCAATATATGAACTATCTTGATTGGGAATTTTTTCAAAAGGTAGTGCCAAACCTCTTTCTATCATACCCAGAAAACTGAATGGATGTGTTTTGTAAGTCACCAGTAAAAACTAAACTGGAAGGTGATTTTCTTTTTATCTTATATATGTGTGTGATGGAGCTGTTTGGGGTGGGGATAAGGGTAGAATGAAGAAGCAGCAAGAAAAGGGTTAAGTGCTTCTCTTACACTTGCTTCTCAAACTCTTCACTCCCCTAAAAACTTTTTTCCTCAGTAAAAATGTTTGCTTTCTTATATGTACTGATGTGCCTTTAATTTAATTCAGAGGTTTCTTACAGCAAGAAGCAACCTAATAGAAGCAGCAGCAATATACTCCACTATCAGAAAGGACACTCTGACTTTGTATATTAGGCTAAGCCATGGTTTGCTTAACCAAGGTTTGTTGAAACACAGCCATTTTTGATGTATGAATCTAGCCTGAGGTTCTATTAGAACACAGTCTAGCTTTTTAGACTTTACTGTGCTTTTTCAACTTGGAAAAAAATGAGGACTGGGTTGAGGGGTGGGGAGGGTTATATAGGAATGGGAAGTAACTGGGCAGTATTACATATGGTCAGAATTCAATTTTAATACAGCAAGTTTCATAGATGTGATGTCAGAGATTTCACAAGTATTAAGAAAAAAAACCTCTCAAAATAAATTCAACAGTGTTTATGTGAGACCTATTAGGAATGATGACACTCAGGGAGATAATCTCTTGCAGCTTATAGCAATAAATGCCAGAAAAATTAAAACACAAAGTCTAATAAAAGAGAATATCTGTAGCTCAGGGTTGAACTGTGGAATTTTTGGTGCTCTCTGAGCCTGGTTGTTTGCTTGCAGACATTTCATTACCCAACTAGTGCTTGCACTGATGTTGTTACCAAGTTGGGTAATGAAACAACTGCAAGCAAACAATCAAGCTCAGAGAGCACCAAGAATTCCAAACAAGGACTAACACAAATGCTCAGAGATGTAACCGAGAAGAGCCACTAAAAGAGAACACAGCATATAGCCTGTTGTTTCATCTACCCCCATTCTTGTAAGCTTGTTCCCTGTTGACCAAATTGGACTTCTACGCTCTTCATACTTTCTGCTGTTCAGTTTTAATGCCTGAACAGTTGACCCTAGTACTGTATAGTTTCTACTGTAGTGTCATGTTTTTGCTGTTTAAAACCTCATGTCAGCAGCATACTCCCATTTGATCAAGTCACCTTACTGCTCTTCTTGCGAATTGACACTAAGCCAGAAACTACAGAAGCATTGGATGATATATGTAGTGCCAAGGAGAATCATTGTTACAAATGCTGTGAAGGAGCCTAGGTTACCAATAAAGGTAACCCTGATATTAATTACTTATTCAAATGTGCTCTTTTCTACCAACACTCATGATAATTAGCAGCTACCATTCTAAAATGAAATAGGCCCAATGTTTGTTGCTGAACACAGAGAGAACTGCAGAGGAACAGTAACAAGAGGATTATGCTGGTCTATGACCATAATAAAGATTTGATTTGAATGACAAGAGGAATAAATATTTGTTTGTTGCAATGATTTAAGTTGTTGTCCTGACTCTCACACACAAAGAACAATCTATAATGCAACAGAAGTCTGTGGCTGCATATTAATGAAATAACCATTATTTAAATTAGACAATTTTACCTCCAGAGAGCTTGGTTAATTTTTAGAGTGAAAGCAACATAAGACTGTAAAATTGCACTACTACTGTTATATTTGATTGAAAACATGCCAGGTCAATGGTAGCTTAGTAATATATACTTTGTTATATAGGAGAATGTATTTCTGGCAACTGCAGATTTGGCTTAGAAAGAATTAGGTCCAAACTCTGGCAGAGTTGAGACAATCAGCAAATATAATACTGAGATGGATAGTTCAATGATCTGATACAACATATGGCAGTTCTATATGCTCCTAGTAAGTTACTTAGAGAAAGAACACTATCTAGAGCTTATAAATGCAAACTCAGAATGCAGTAAACTGAGATCCAGAATTAACTTTTTAAAAAAGCATAAAGTTTGATGTATGATTTTTCAAGAAATGAACGCAAATTATACTGTTGGTAGATACTAGAAGAGACTGAAGAATGAAACAAAACAAAAACAAAAACAAAAGATTTTGTAATTTTAATTCCAACCACATGGACAAAATGGCTTGTTTTAAAAATATAGATATCAACAGCCCAATACTTAGTATTGCTCGAATGCTGTCTCAGGTCAATAATATCAGGACATTAAACATTACTATGACTCTACTGTGACTGCAGAATACTTGCCAAATGGAAAATTATCAAACTATTGTACAGGTAATCTTCCAATCTTCCAAAGATCCAAAGTACTCTTGTCACTGTTGCTGGTTTCCTACCTTAGACAGCCCTGACTCCAAGGCATCTTAATGCATGCCTCTCAACAAATAGGGGCACCACTGACCTCGTGCTGTATCAGGAGTAGCCTCAGTACTAACTAATCTCTGCCCAGCACACATGGAACGCAACATCTGGAAGACAGCCAAAGGTGCCACATTCATGCGTAGAAGGTCCAGCAGGATCCTAAGGAGGGAAAATAGAGTTTACCAATGTAATACTGGCATTTCCATTATTTGCAAACAGGATTTCTTGATTATTTAGAATACATTGTTTCCGGCTTGTTAAGTAAAAATGCCTAAAAGAACTGATGGAGTACTCTAGGATTTGAATATAAATATAATTGGGAACCCCACCCCAAGAATATAGAAATGAAAGTGTTCTTTCCAGCTCAAGTTTTATTTCATGCAATAATGTATTGGGGGATTTTCCCAGGTAGCCAACTCCTCTGAATCCAGTTTAAACTGTATCTGAGATTGACTTATGCAATGTTTTGATTATTTCCATTCCTGTTGGTACATCAGAATACCTTAAGAATGAGTACAGTTTATAGGTTTCAGTTCTTGCAGAGAACCACCAGTCAAGCAGCAACTACCCGCTCTAGAGAACCACCGATTGGTGTTTGCTTGCCAGGAACTGAATGCTTTGTCTCCTACTCAGGGCTACTGAACACACATACATATCCCTTTTTCACAAAAATAAAGGAAAACAAGCTTCCACCATTTTCTTTCTTTCTTTCTTTCTTTCTTTCTTTCTTTCTTTCTTTCTTTCTTTCTTTCTTTCTATCTATCTATCTATCTATCTATCTATCTATCTGGCATATACTCTACAGCAATGGTGGTTTCTGTGCTCAACATAGTGGCAAATCTCCATAGCCTTTCAGACTTGTAACACTTGCATGCTGGCAAGTATTTGGGCTCCTTTATGTAATTTATGGCAGCTAAAGCTATGATAGGATCTAGCGTAGTACACCAAAATTCTCTCCAGTGAAAACACAGACCACCTCTTCAGTCACAAGGAGTCCTTGTGAAGTATCATTCACTTCTTTAAAACAGCATTTCTCTAGCTTTGATATAACATCATGGGGGTAGGGATATATATATTGAATTCTTACACAACTGCAAGCCCATGATTACAATATAACCTGATCAATGGGGGCTCGTTTTGCCCCATTACTGGGACTATACCTCTAAGTTTTTAAACTGTTTTGAAAATATGTGTTGCATATACAAGTTTGCGGGGAAAAGTAAAAGACAGATCTATGATTTCACATTTTTAATAAAAAATCCACCTGAAACCACCATTAAATCATACTCACCTGCACAGAATGAGCCAAAACAATCACAGATTGAGAAAATGTGGGTGCTGTTATGGTGCAAAAATGGATCTAAGACAAGGATCTTCATGAATCATCTCAATTTTTTGATATGATTTATCTGAAACCACCATAGAACTACACATCCCATGTGACTGTGGAATGAGCCATACCAAACAAATCTGATTATTCCTGGTGGTTCTGTGGCATATCAAATGGAAGTTTCTAGTGAATGCCATGTAAATATCAAGGGAAACCATTCGAATACATGTTTTGGATCCATGATTTTTCACAATGACGCCACAAAATCACCAAATCCATGATTGCTAAAGCTCAGGTGTGATTTCTAACCTAATTATTATATATAGATTCAATGTAAAAATCACAGTATTCTAGGAAAATCCAATTGACTGTAACCTTCAGTTCACTGATAATATTATCATATTACTAGCCGAACACCATACAAGTTTATCGGTTTTTATTATCCCGACTGTATATTCAATTGTAGTCTGAGAAATAGGAACCTCAAGGCATTATATTATGCAGGCTAGAGTTATAATTGCAGGTAGGACCGAAATGGTCAGAGTGAACGGATGACACAACACCTCTTCAGGCGGGTCCAAAATTTTCTATAGAGAAAAAAGCAATTACAGTCTAGTTGGGCGGTAAGGTCTCCCACCACTATCTTCCATCCATTTCTTGTGGAAGGGAGGGAAAGGGAATGAAATATCATCCCTGCTAGTCCCTAACAAAGCGAAGGCCGCACTTTTCCAAGATCCCAAAGCCACAGCCCCCGCAGCCCACGATCACTCACTTAAACACTTCCGGGTCAATGCCGCTCCCCGCAGCCTGCGCAAGTTCAAATAGTTCCGCCTCTTCCGCCGTAAGAAGCTTCCGCCGAGCTCGCGATCCTACGGCTGCGCCTCCCTTCAGTAGGCCTGCCGCGTCCATCACCGGAGCCGATATTCCAGAGGCGCCTTCGGCTCCACGTTCACTTCCGCGCGCAAGGCATCTCGGGATGGCTTTTGTTGGATGAGGAACGCGGGGACTTGTTTCCCGGAAAGCCCGTAGACCTAAACCGTAGAGTTCTCATTCCGTGGTCTGAAGTTGGACTTTTCTCCTTCGGCATCTCTTTTTCACTCTTAAGTAGAACGCGACCGACGGTAGCAAACGAAAAATGTAGCAACATGGAGCGCTCCACTTTCAGATCACGTCCCTTTCATCTCCTTTTGTATTTTCTCTCTACGGCCCATTCACCTGCCGTGGTGTCTGAGCAGGCTTCGTCCACTTGGGCTCTTCCTAATGGTACCTTTTTGGCCTTTTTTCCTCCGTAGCGAAATTCTCCCGACCTGCTTCATATATCCGTCATGGCGCTGCTAAAATGGCATTTCAAGAACTAAGTTGGCAGTTGGTTTGCTTGGGAAGTCGAAAAACACTTAAAGCAAAGGCAGTAGCAAACACTTCTGTTCTGTACTGTGGCCAAAAGTGCGGTGTGGTTGCGTCTGATAATGAGCAGGAGTCGAGGCTGATGCCAGGGCTTCATTACCTTACTCTACCTTTTATTTAAAGTAAAATGAAATGCTTATTTAAAGTAAATAAAGAAGTTAAAATAAAGGTAAGGAGATACTTGATTTAACTACTAACTAGGCCCAGCCTTGCTTAGCTTCTAAGTTGACAAGTTCCTAGGCTGAGATTTACAGTACTTCCCCTTGAATACCAAAGTCTGTGGCTTTAATATAGCTGTTGAAGTGGGAGACCTGGCGGCGGTGGCAGTGGCTGCTGCTGCTGCTGCATCAAAAGCACATTTGGCTAGACAGAAGCTCAATGAGTTCAGTGGTATTTTGCTTCTAGTTAAAACTGCATCTGTGTTCTCATTGACATTGTATGCTTGGTTGGTCTTTTTTATCCAGTTTATCAGTGCTGATCCAAGACCTTTTGCAGCCTAAGTCAAAGCACTAAATGTTGCTTTTCTCCCTGTTATGTATTGAAACAGATGGGATCAGTAATGGAATTCATTTAAATACTGCAAGTGGGATAGGAAGAAAGCCTGAGGGAAGCAAGCTCTTCTACTCTGTCTTTTTGGAGGGCACATGTAGAATACATAGGGATTTCACAGATAAAAATTTGGAAGTGCCCATGCATCTTCCAATTGTTTCATTGCAAAATTAGTGCACCAGTACTACTTTTTTTTCCAAATATAAATAAACCGTATTTGGCTGCTGCAGCAGCCAGCACTTTTGTACATAATATTGTTCTCTCTAGCCCTGAATTATTGGTTTAAATTTGACTTTATGCGAAGATGATGATGATAACGCAGTAATATCAGATCTAGAAATTGTTGTAATGGTCAGGTTTTGGTTGTGGTAAATAGGGCAGTGTATGCTTCAAAAACAATATTTAAGTGTTTTGAAACATGCATGAGCTCAAGTGCAACCTCTTTAAAGAGTGACATCTTTTTCCAGGCTTTTTTGCAAGTTACCAAAAGATGCAACTGTTTCAAAACTAAGACTCTAAATATAGTAGTTGTGAGGATAGAGATTATAATCCCAATTCAGACACTCATTAAATATTCCATTAATATCTTGCTAGTTTACAGATTACAAATCTTACAACTGTGAAGATTTGATTATTAATGAAGATTTTACATAGTATTATTACATAGGAGTCCCCTATTGGGGAGATGGGCGGGGGAGAAATCCAATAAATAAATAAAATAAATAAAAACATCCCTTCTAACCCCATGTAAACATCAGTTTTGTCTAAAATTACAAGTTTATATAGCTGAATAGGGACTAAATGATATTTGGGGCCTTCTCAACTAAGAATGAAATGCAGTCCACCATATCAAGTAGAATGTATCTATCATAGTCCAAAATGTAAAATCTGCTAATAATTAACAATGAAATGATCAATTTTGTGCAATGCCTCTAACTCAGAGAAAGTGTTCGCCAACAACATATATCAGCAATTTGTGGTCTCCCCTAAATCTCCCATAAGATTTATTTTAATGAATTGAAAATCTTCCTCCCTCTAAATCACAAGGGTTGTGATTAGGACCTTTTGCTCTTAGCTGTAATTTCTTGTTTAATATTTTATCTTTGTTTCAGATTGTTTCCATGTGCAGTTTGGCAGAAGAGAGGCAACCAAATAATTTTATATTGGGGAAAAATGGTGACCAGGGCAAGCAGGTGGCTTTGAAGTCTGTCCTCGCTTGGCTTTCTTTTTAGTATCTTCTTCTCAGTTCTTTACCAAGGTTACTGGAAGATAAATAATGCTATCTGTAAGCTTTTCAAACACCAGTGCTGCTGGAAATTCCTGCAACAGAGAAGAACTGTAATCTTTTAAATCATTATTCATTAAGAAGGACTGGAGGTATAATGCTTGAATGCTACAGTTGCCCCACTCAGGTGTGCACTGCCCTGCGGAGACAGGTATGCTGGTTTCATAAAAGTCATTTTTTAAAATGTAAGGAGTGTCATGGGTATTTTTATCTGCAAAATACTAAATTAAAAATAGATTGTGGAAACTGGAATAGATGCTAGAGTCTGTAGTGGTCTCTCATGTTGCAAGAGAGAATTGGCGCTATGCTGTGCTCTACATGGATGTGTGCTTGTGTTCTAAAAAGGCAGCTGTAAATTCAACTCACAGATTTCATGTTTTTTGTGAATTCTGTCCTATTGAGACTATAGTTGTAGCTGTTCCATCTTAGTGGCATGCTTATTCAGCAAGTATAAATGTTTACCCTCTCTCAAAGTTAAAGCACTTTAAAAGGAGCTGCAAGTGAGGCAGCTTAAAATATAGGAAGGAGTAAAGTGGTGACTGAAGATACGGTGTTCACTAGGAAAATTTATAAAGATCTTGAGATTATTCCTAATTCAAGACAGTTTTTCAGGAACCCAGAAAAGACAAAGTTACTCAGTATTTGAGCCAGATGAAGAGAAGAAGAGTGAAATTGGGTTATGCAAGCAGGCACCGTTCCTGCATTCTGTGCTGGATTAAACAGTGGACCTTAAAGAGAACTTACAAGAGCCCAGGTCTTTAAAAGACACAACTGGCTTAGTCTCTGAGCTACCCCTAGCCAAAGCTATGCCCTCTACAAAGGGTTTGTATCAGGAACTGTGACAGAGAGACAAGATTGAGTTGATACTGATGATGAAAACTTAACAATATGCAAAGATTGGATTGGATTCTCACTGAAGAATTTCTTTCAGAAAGTAATGGACTATTAGCAACATTTGTAAAGAATTTTGTTATTCATGATAGAGACACTGAAAGGAAAGGATCTGTTAATAACATATCTTGTTCTAAAGGGACTGCTCAGCCTTGCTAAAGATGCTAATGAAGCAGGTCAAAAGTTGCATGCAAAAATCAGGAGAAAAGCAAAAATACAAGAAAGGGGAATAAAAAAGCCCAGTATTGTCAGAAAAAGAGCCTGTTCAAATTACTGCCCAGAAGAACAGTTATAGAGGCTAAGAAGTTAAAATTTAAAGGTTTTAAGAAAAATAAGAAAATGAAATTAAACAAAAGTGTGAATCTGCAGCAAATAAATAAGGAAGAACATACATCAGAGCATAAAGTTGTTAAATTAAAAACCCCAGGTGTAATTGCACTCCTAGTAAATATATCCTTCCAGTAAATTCCCTGTACCATTCTATAGATGTCCAATTCCTCCTGGGGAAATTGCTGGAAGGAGTAAATACAGTTTAACCAGATGCACTAATCATTGTGTTGGAGGACTTTAATGCCAGAATAGGACCATCTTGCTCAAAATTGTTGGAGCCCTGGGGTCTCCAGGAGGAAATTTTTAAAAGTAATATTGGTTCTCCGGTTATAAGAAAGCAAATAGTGTAGGGTATAGTTTACTGGTGATAAAACCCCCAAACAATAGAACATCAACATTGGAAGGAGCATAGATACAGTACTTATGGTACAGGGATATGAAAGAGGACATATCCCTGTACCATATTAACTTAAAACTAGTATAAAATGTTTTATAGATGGTATACAACTCCATTAATAATTGTCAAGATAGACAAATTCACTTTTAAAGAATATATTAAGACAAAGTTTGATACATGTATGCAACCTTGTGAGAAAAATAAGTCCAACAATCTCACTGCTAGCCTCTCCTTTAAATGGAGAGAGAACTATATCATGTTGGAGATAAATATAGTAAGAAATGTGCAATTACATATGCAGATATGATCCATTCAGATCCCATTAATAGACCAAAAATATATCAAAAGCTACTTGATGAAGGCTGGAACATACCATGGTTGATGTACCTACAAATTGCTGGAAGAGTAAAAACTGACGTCAAAAATGAGGGAGGGCTTCTAAGAAAAATGACAGAATTTGAAATGCTCATACAGAACTAAGACCATGTACTAGGATGTACATATAAGCTGTTACTCAGATATGGCAGAGACAGGGCAAATAAAAAATTACATGATAAAATGGATATAAAACCTTAAAGAAATAGTCACAACACAACAAGGGGAAGAATTATGGAACAAATGTATAAAATTTACTCTGCATCTTAACTTAAAAGAAAGCTAGTATTAAATGTTTTATAGATGGTATACAACTCCATTAATAATTGTCAAGATAGACAAATCATATAGTAATAAATGCTGGAAATGCCATGAGGCAAAAGAAGCATTTTACCATATGTAACTGACATGTTAAAAACTTCAAAGTACTGGAAAGAAATGTACAGCACCTTTCAGAACATTTTAGAAATCAAATTTGAAATGAAACCATAATTCTTACGAGACATAATCCAAAACATATTAACAAAAAATCACAATTTACTAAGATACTTGGATAAACTTAGCAAAACATTAGAAAAGAGATGATGATACAAGGCTGGAAACTTTGGAGAATATGCAGTAATGGCAAAATTAACAGCATATATTCACAACAGAAGCCAGTTTGGTGTAGTGGTTAAGGCACAAGGCTAGAAGCCAGGAGGCCATGGGCTGTATTGAATCTCCTCATTTAATCTTTGCACAGCCCTACACATTATCAGTCAATGGAGAGAGGCTGACTGAGGTAGTTAACATACAGTGGAGGGCTTCAAATCCAGCTCCTAAGTCCGTTGTGCTGCAGGTATAGCAGCTACTCTCAGGAGGCACTTACTGGCATGTATATAGAGAATAATTTCATGTGCAAAATAATAATTTTGCATTTAAAGGAAATAATGACAAGGAGTTCGTTAATCATATTTACAGCTTTACTGTTCAGCTGGTTTTGTGGCTCTAGGTCTGGTATCAAATTAAAACATATTTAAAAACATTTGCCATGGAATTACATTCAGTTTCTCCAGATTTAACATACTGCATTTGTCACTTTGATTACATAATTTTAGCTAGCTTTTTTGGGGGGGAGTTTCAGTTTGTTTAAACCTCTCCAGTGAAGGAGAATCCACCATCTCTCAAGGTAGCCTGTTTACTATTACACAGCTCTTACTATTTGGATTTTTTTCCTGATGTCCAGTCAAAATCTTTCTTGTAATTTAAACCCACTGTTTCGTGTCCTGTCATCTGGATCAACTGAACAATTCTGTCCATGTTTAATATGACAGCTTTCAGGACAGCTATCATGTTTCCTCATTGTTCTTTTTTTCCAGGTCAAACTTACCCAGTGTTCCCAACTGTACCATTCTCATTATTTCAGCCCCTTATCATTTTCTGTTGCTGTCTTCTGGGCACACTCCAGTTTGTCATTGTCCCTCCTAAAATGTGATACCCAGAACTAGATGCAGTATTCTAGGTACAATCTGACCAGTGCAGACAGAGGAAAAATTACTTCTCTTGACTTTAACACTGTATTTCTGTTGATGTAGCCAAAATTTGCTTGCTTGCTTGCTTTTTTCTTTTTTGCAACTGTGTCACATGCCATGCTTGGTTTATATTCAACTTGTGATTCATCAAAGCACATAGATCCATTCTGTATCTCCCTGTTGAAATTAATCTTGATGGTTTCTCCCATTGTCTCAGCTTGTCAAGATCCTGAATCTTGATAAAATGCCTCCCTATCTTTGTGTTATCTGCAAGATTGATAATCATATGTGCTGATAGATGATGTGAAGAAGTGGATAAGGAAGAGTGATTTTTAGGCCAGGAATGTATTACACTGATCTCTGTCTGGTTAAATCTGTATAATATGCAGAAAACAGACACTATCTCAGCCTCTGTAAATTATTTTATATATTTAGTCTTTCCCAGTTTTGCTTCCTTAGTCCTTGGCATACCACCAACACAGATTTGAGAGTTGGAGAGGAGGGGGCAAAAGGCTTATATTGGGACTCCCACTTAAGGTTTTCTGTTGTAGCACCAATCCAGAGTAGTGTATTCTTGCGTTGATCAACTGTTGAACTACCTGGGCTCACTCGCTGCCCATTATTCTTTCTGATGAAGTTGGTCTCAGATTTGGTTTTAGAACCCTCCAAGTTGATTTATAATCCACAGGGCATGGTAATAATATTCTGAACAATTTTAAGATTATTTAAATCAGCATACTCCTGAATTTGGCACCAAAAATCGGCAGAGGCAACTTTTTCCACAACTTTCCCTTTTCATAAGTTAAAGGCTTTGTTTGGCAGCAAGACAGCCAGGAGAAAACTCATAGACGTGCCAGTAACAGTCATTGACATAAGGAGGGAAGAAGAAGCCAGAATAAAGCAGAAGGAGAAAATGAGGGAAAGAGAGTTGGGAGGTTGGAATTAAATAGGTTATTTCTTATATGTTTATATATACTATTCTGTACTTTAGCCATCCCCCTGTTTGTCTAGGCCAGTGTTTCTCAACTTCAGCCGCTTTAAGTTGTGTGGACTTCAACTCCCAGAATTCCCTGCCAGCATTCTGGCAGTTGGTCCATGCATCTTAAAGTGGTTGAGGTTGAGAAACATTGGTTAAGCTAAATTTAGTATATGATTAACTTAAAAGATCTAAATTAAAGATTTAAACATATCTAAATGGCCTGCCAAATATTTTCTGATGGAAAGAAACACAGATAGGGTTGGGGTCAACGCAGGGGATACTTCCACCTCAATTCAAGAAGAGACTGGAGTCACATATTGTATTAAATAATGGTTGTTTAACCATTGGTTGAATTTATGTAATGTGCTGAGCTACATATAAACAAACCGTAGTTATGTATAATTCTAACCATCTACTCAGAACTAAGACCTGTTCTTAACTGTTTACAATTAAGTGTTTATATAAATAAACACATATGGTGGTTTGCCTGATTTAGACCGCACTTAGTAAATTATGTGAACCCAACCCAACCAATTATTGCTTAGTCAGCAAGCCATGGTTAAAGGAACCATAGATTAGGACAGGGGAGTGCAGCCCCTGCCCTGAATTCAACCTCTAATTTCATTTTATGACCCCCAGGGTCCTCTAAGAGAACTGCTAAAATTTGGGAGCAAAATCATAATTTTTGGAGGCATTATTTTATTTCTTTTTTAAAAAATAAAGTAAGCACAAAAACAGGTTTGTTCTCTAATAGCTTCAGGGTGCCTATTTTTTATTAAAGATTTTTTTAAAAGGAAGATAATTAATACAAACTAAAAAATTAATACAAACTAAAAGTACTGTAAGAAAAAGAAAAGAAAAATCAAAGAGAAAGCTAAATGTGCAAGAAAGGGGAAAAAAAGTAAAAGAAAAATAGAAAAGAAAAAAAAAGATACAAAGAAATACCTATTTTGAACAAGAAGAAAACTAAGTGCTATAGCTTAACCCTGTCCCTTCTGAGGGTATTATTGCACCCTTGCAGCCATTTGAACTCCTCTGCTCCTAATAAATAATAAAAATTAAGAGTGGGCTTACCTGGGGGGAAATCCTGCTTGTTCCTGGCTTAGTGCTAGATTTGCCCTCTGGGGGAGATGGACAGCATATAAATTAATTAAATAAATAGTACAATGTGTGAACCCAGTCATAATTGTAGCAGTAGCCAGTAATATTCATAAATACATATTTAAGCCACAAGGGGGCATATTTGGATTTTTTTTTCTCTCTAGAAGTAAGGGAAGAAATTTGGACCAGTGATATGTAATTTCCTATTAGAGGTTGGCTCAGTTATGTATAGATTTGCTATTTAAAAGATGCTGCCTGCTTTCAGCCTTTGAACATAGAGCAAGTTTTTTTTTTAAAATCCATGTATCCAAATGGGGGCTAACAATATCTTTATTATGCACCTTTCTTTAAAAAAAAAAAGGCCATATTTTGGCTGCAAAAAACCAGACAAGTACTTAATGGCAGAAAGATGCAGAAAATTCCAACTCTTTGTTGCCATCTAATTTATAGACACTATACCTGGGCTGCAAAATCCAGATAATAACAGGTAGATCACAAAGCATTCTGTATATTGTTGTTATCTAGTAGGCATCTAGATGTTAGCAATCTAGCTAAATTAAACCTGGATTCTGAACTACTTCATTTAAAATTGTAAATACACTATGCATCTAAATAATTGTTCTTATTGCCACCATTTACCTACAGGATTTACCAACCTTATGCAGCTGAGTTTTAACAGAATGTGTGTCCTTGCCTGCCTGCTGTTTGACTGTAGTCACCAAAATAGGTTGCAATCATTTATTATTATAAAGCATGGCTTATGATTTGTCAGTGAGATGTGAACCCAACCAATTGTGTTTTATTCATGCAACCATGGTTAAATAAGCTATGGTTTAGCACAATATGTGAACCAATTCTCTTTCTGTGTGGGTACATCAAAGTATGGCTATGACTATGAATAATATAGTCATAATATATGTAATATGAATATTCTTTGTATTAATTTGTATATGTATAGTATGTAGTATATATTGTCTATACTACATATTATTTATTCATACACTCTAATCAGTGGTTTAATTAGCCATGGTTTATGAAATAAGCCACAATTGGCTTGATTCATATAATACTTGAAGAAAAAACACATTAGGATAGCATGGTGTACTATATGAAAGGCTTACTGTGCTTAGACAAAGGTGGGATATCTATCCCAATGCTTCTGTTGCACTTGTGCATGCTTGTAAAAATGCTTGGGTATACATTGGCATAACTGTATGCTTTGGGAAATGGATTATGGTTAAGTAGACAAATGTTAGGTAGATTATAGTATATGTAGACAAATATGGATTAGATGGAATTAGGAGTTCAATCTTATGCATGTTTATTCAAGGGTAAGTCCCACTAACATTAATGTGATTACTTATTGAATTTACCCAATGTACTAAATTAGAAATAGTGGTTTGTTGGTTGGTTTTAGATTAATGTATTGTGTAAGTACAGTGAACTGTGGTTTATCGAATAACAGTGCTTAAACAATCTGTGGCTTAGCATGATATATGAATCAGGTCATAATTTAGAAAGGTTTATTTTAGAATCCACTATCTGTAGTCATCAGGATAAATGTTTGTACTGTCTGAAACTCATAATCTTTTTGTTTCCAGGCTGTTGAACAAGAAACCTCCAAATCCTATTTTTACTTAATGGGGAATTTTCTTCCTTCAAGTGAAGGAAGTTCCTAGATAGTTCTGATAACTTCGTTGTTCATAGTAAGTATCATGAGGGTCTGTTGAAATACCTTCATTAAAAATGAGTTGGAATATATTGAATATCAGCTACCATAATCACCCACAGAAAGAAAGAAAGGACAAAGGGAAATTTCAGATTAGTCACAAGAAGTCCCCTATCTCTGTCTACATATCATGCTTAAAACACTCCTAATGGTATTTAATAGCTGCCTTCACAGCTTCTTGGCTTCAGTAGTGATTATTTTTCTTGGGCAGAAGGTGATTTCCTTCTGTGCATTTCTATTAGAAGGCAGTTGTATGGAGGAACAACTGGAGATGGAGGACAGAATAATGAGAAAGCTACCTGCAGAGAGTGAGAATGGGAAGCAAACTAAACAAGTCTCATTGTATGTTGGGACCACGATTATACATTGGATACTCTTACTTGTCTGCTTGATCCTTTTTGGTTTGTCCCATTTTCGGGTAAGTCTGCACAAAAACCTCACAGTGCTATGGCTCAGGATGAATTCATGTGGGATTTAAGGCTATTTCTGGCTGAAGTCATGTTGGTTTTATTTTGTTGGGCTTTTAAGGTGTGATGCCCTGCTGGTAAATTAGCATACTTTTCAAATTGCTGAACTGCTCTTCAATCATTCTGTCTTTTTGAAGGCAGCTAAGCTTGCTTCTAAAATGGCTAGAAATTGTCCCTTTATCCATGTATACATGCCATGAAATAACAGGCATACAAAAAACTGGATTGCTATGTGGTTTGGTTATATGAAATATCTTCAAACAGCTATTGAAATCTTGCCTGGCATATAAGCTCTGAGACAAAACAACCCTATGATGTTCCTTCTGTTATTACTAGAATCTTCAACAATGAACAATACTTATTTTATTTATGTGCTTCTTGATGTGCTTTTAAGAAAGAAATATTACAGCCCTTTCACACCTTGGCTTTTCTAAGATAGTTTTTATTACACATAAGAGATATGTTTTTATTACACATAAGAGATATATAAGAACATTTAATTTTACTTTTGTAAAGTAAAAGAATCACCTGTCACCACTGAATTCAATCTTAGTTTCTCCTATTTACTGACAAATATAATATCTTGTCAAAGGTCACTGGTAAATGTCAAAAACAACCTTCAAGGTCCAGTGATGTTTCGATTTAGTGATAATCTCAAATTTTGTAATCTTGAGACATCTAACAAGCATCATAATTAAGGCTGTGAGATTGATCTCGCTGACTTTGTTCCAGTAACATGCCAGTGCAACATGTCAGCTTGGCATTAACTTTGTTTTGGGTTTTTTTGTGCTTAATTTGTTGTGTGAATGCAACCAAACCATCCAGTGGGTTTCATGACTAAGTAACTGCAGTGCTTGGTCCAAAGGATCACATGCTGGTTTGTCAGGTCTCATAGGAAACAATGATTTTTGTATAAACTTTCAAATAAAAGGATATAGAATATTTTTAAAAAATGATAATTTCATTCTTATTTCTAGCATTTATTTAAAATGATATGATTCATTGAGGCGTATTGAAACATCTCCAGAACAAGGAGAAATACTTCTGCAATGTACCTTTAAATAACAAGAATTACTTTCAATAAAAAAGTTCAATGTCAGCCTCATTTCAAAGGTTAGTATTAAATATCTATTTGGCTGGAAAGTGACAAAGTTAATCCTCATATTTTTACTTTGACAAAACCCAGCAAGCAAGGTTCATTTGGGATCTAGCTTTCCTATATTGGAGAAGAGCCAATGTGTGCAGCACATCCCATAGCTGGAAGTCTACAAGGGAGAAAAGAGAAAGGAGTTGGTTGGGAGGGAGGATGTAAGGATAAATGTCTTATCATCTGCTGATCATAGAAAACTTTAAAATGCAGAAACACAAGGGATATATTGGCTTTATAAGAGAATATTTGTCACAAGGTACTGTTAATCTTTATAATAGCAGTCAATATTAGATGTACAATTCTATAACAGTGGAAATAAATGAAAATACATTAGATATAGTGTACAGTCAAATCATTCCTAGTTCTTTCTCACATCCTATGTTCTTCTATAATGTCATCCATCCCAGTGGTAGTTATTATAGATACAGTAGCATTGTATAACAAACATGGTTTCAAAATTACATCTACAGACAGGAGAATACACAGAAAAATATTCTGACACAACCTAAGACAAACTACATCTGCTCATTTCAGTTTTTCTGTGGTAAAGCCCACCCACCTCTAACTGATGTATGGTGAGATATGAGAAAGAAAATGACATGTTCCAAAGATATTTCTATATCTATACAGGTCCAGGCATGCATTGTTTTTCATTTTTTAAGAGGAAGCTAGCTGATTATTTCATGCTTAGTTTTGAGATGGCTCAAGAAATTGGACAACTTGGTTTAATTCATTAGACATTATGATACTAAGATGGAGTTTTTGACTATTAAAGGAGAACCAAAAGATGGGCTATGCAGTTCACTCCTATGAGCAATACAGTTACCTTTTTTAATCTGGTAACATTTAATATTATGCTTGGCTCTGCCCAAACTAAACAAAAGTTATTTTAATAATTTAATTTATTTTTTAAAATTAAGCTTGAAAAATGTGTCACTGAAATTCATTTAAAATAATTGTTCTTAATTATCCACAATCCTAGATGTTTTTCTTAAGTCATAAGATTAGGCCAGCAAAATTTTCTCACCCCAGATGACATTACATGATTTTTCACAATACTGTAGCCTAGGAAGCCTCCTCAAATTTTTAGAAATCTTATAAGATCACTAAACATTTTGGTGATATTTTGATAATCTCATCTCAGGAATTCTGAAATGTGGTGGTGGTATTTTTGCTTTTTAAAAAACAATTATTTTATTTTAATTCAATGTTGCATGGTCACAAGCATCATTTAGGGTACAACATTTGCCCTGGCATTTCATGGCTGTCACATTGCTAAACTCTTAGTTATTTCTTTGTTTTGGATTCAAATAATTTTTTAATTATTAGTTTCTTTAAATCATAATGTTTGTAACTCTTTGCCGGAATCTGGAGTTAATTCTAGATTCATTTAGTCTTTTCACTGCTCACTGAATGCTTAACAATGCAAGTTTATCTAACAGAGCATTTGCTTAAATAACTTAATTGAAAGTGGGGTATTAATTTTGTGGTGTTAGCATGTATAACATTAAGAAATATTATTACATTTTAAAATTACCATACACAGTCATAGAATTGGAAGGAATCATTTAGGCCATCGAGTCTAATCCCCGGCTCATTGCAGAATTCAAATTGAAGTGGTCTGGCTTTTGCTTTAACACATTCAATCCATCACCTCACTGGTTTCACTATTGAACTGACCCTTTTTATAGGATTTTTTTTTTAAAACATTCAGTTAGAATCTGCTGTCCTATAGCTGAAATCTGTGTCCTGCACTGTGAAACGAGAGAATAGGTCCTGACCTTTTATAAGATATCCTTTCAGGTATTTAAAGAATGCTTAAGCATTTTTTGTCAAAGTTAAGAGTACTGTATACAGCTAATTCAGTCTCCTTTCATAAGCCTTAGTTTTTAGCCCCCTGATGATCTTTGTTCTTTTCTGAGCCTGTTCCAATTTCTCTGAGCACTGGACACTATGCTCAAAATGGGGTTTGTTCAGTGCAGAATAAAGTGGAATGATTTCTTCCTGTGATTTGGAAATTATACTTCTGTTGCATTTACTGTTTTCACAGTGATGTCACACTGCTGGTTCATACTCATTTTGCAATCAATGAGTTTGTCATTTTTACAAGTGTCATTACAGTAGCAAGTTAGTACCCCCCCCCATCCTATACTTGTGCATTTAATTTTTCTTTTATGAGTAACTTTGCATTTATTAATACGTTAATATACTCCATGGACCAAGTTTCCTGTTGGAGGATTAGGTTTGAACTCAGAAATTTGGGCCCCAAAAGCTGAGTCATCCTTTTTTGGCCTTCCATCCGGTTATGTTTCCCAAGACCAAGGAAAGACTGTTTTGACCAATTCCTAGTCAATCCAACTGGTGTTGGTGGAGATGGGATGCCGTATATGGAACAGGAGTGACCACAACACAAGGCGGAGGGTGAGATAAGGGTGAAGTGACTATATCTTTGGAAAGTGGGAAGAGCCAAATAATCTCCACTAAGGGAGAGGAGAAGTTGGGGTGTCCTTTTGGAGGGTGGGTTAGGATAAGAGCTGATACAGACACACACAGCCAATACTTAAATAGATGAAAGATTTTATTCTGAAGATACTTATGCTAATAAAGTAATGTGAGTTAAGTGTAGAAGTGGCAATATAATTCACAAAACCTAGTATGTACAGAATAGTATGTATAAACATATAAGAAATAATCAATAATTTCCAACCTCTCAACTTTCTTTCCCTCATTTTCCCCTTGTGCTTTATTTTGGCTCCTTCTTCCCTCCTTATCTCAGTGACTGATACTGGTACATCTGTGAGTTTTCTCCTGGTTGTCTTGCTGCCAAACAAAGCCTTTAATTTATGAAATTCCACTGTTCAGATTCAGTATCTGAATCTCCTTAGACAAAATATAGACCATCCTCCTGCTCTCTCCACATTTTCACAAGCCTCTCCAGGATTTTCCTCTGGGTCTTCCTCCTTGTCTCAAGGCCAGGATCTGTACTTCACTCCATGTTTACCAGACAGCATCCTTTCCAACAGCATGTCCTGAAGCATCTGCAATACAAATTCCCCTTTTTATCTGCTCTTTCTGCCTCTTTTTATATCCTATACCCAGGACATATATATGCCACTGTACAGGTGCCTTCTAGCATTTTCCCCTTTCTGCCTACGTGCTATTGGTCTTGTGCTGAGTCATGATCTTGGCACAGACCCAACCTCTCTCCTTCAGCCAGGCTCTTCAACCTGCCACATGTCCAATGTTTTCTGACTGAAGAGGGTAAAAAACTCCAGTTCTGATTGTAGAAAAAAAAGTGCAGTCCAGTAGAAAGAACATTGAGAGAGTAAGTAAGATGCTTTATATTTCTGATATTTGTCTAGGCCATCAGCATGGGCTCACCAGTTGGCTCCTCTGATTGGATGGCATAAACAGGCATAACTGGTACTAAATCCATTGACTGTAATTGGCAGTGAAGGTGTTAGATCAAGGACTAGTGAACAGAGAGTCCTTAAGAAGCCCACTTCCAACATTAGTGCTGTTAGTTAAAACTGTTAACTAACTGTTAAAATTGAAATTTCCTATTTTGGCAACAAGAAGAAAACCCTCTTTTTTTCTTACAAGGAAGACATTGTGGTAAACATCTTTTTGAGGCTACCCTTCGGAGGGTGAGATACCCAACCTTGTGGGGGGGGGGCAGGAAGGCCCCCTCCCTGATAGTGAGCTTATACAATTCTTTATACTCCCTATGTCCTTGGTTTTAATAGAGATAGCTGACAGTTGGCCAAACAAAGCTATCACAGTCTGAACTGTTAAGAGGCA